CATTTCTCACTGCACTCCTGATTTGTACCCACTCTGAGCAGCCAGGGATGCAGCTGAGCTGCAGGTCAGCCCCCTGCCCACGCTGCACCCTCGTTTGTGTTGGACCAGGCAGTGCTGGCTCCCCTCCTGCTGCCCCGTTCCTCCGTGTCTTTTCACACCTCAGGCTTACTCTTCCACCTTTATTCAGCTGCTTCTTGGCCAGGATGGAGAGACCGATGCATATTCCTGCAAGTATTACTCACTTCTCCCCCCACGCAGAGGCTCTCCCGTGGGAGCAGCCCAGCACCACAGGGCAAGCCTCGCCTATAGGGAGGACAGGGAGATGGGGATTCCCTTTCCATTTCCTCCCTTTGTGCAAGGCAGGGTTTAAAACAGTGTTTAGAATCAGTGGGATGACTCAGTACAGCAGCTCTGGCAGAGTGGGGAGCCTAATTTGGAAAAAAAAAAAAAAAAAAAAAAAAGGCAATGACTTTTGCATTATGATGCACTGGCTGCTACTCAGTCATCAGTACACAAAGGGCTTTTCTTCCTGAGCCATTAGCTCAATGAATCACCAGGAGTGTTTCTCCGGAGCCCCATCTCCCTGTTCTTCCCGGGCTGGGCTGGCACACATCCCCCTGCCACTGCGAGGACACGGCACAAACAGGAAGATGCTTTTTCGGAACGGGAGGTTCGCTGTAAAAAAATAAACCGTGACTCCCTCTGCTGAGAACAGCGAGCAGAAATTACGGGAAACATTTGCAGCCTTTGTTGTTGCGAACGGAGGGTTTGTTGTGAACAGCCCAGCTGGCAGAGCAGGCTGGGGCTGGGTGTGGGGTGGCTCTCAGCCCTGCAGCCCCAAAGCTGACACTGCCTTCCCAGTGTCTGTGCTGTGCTGAGGAGAGGGCAAAGTGCCCAGAAGCTGCTGGAGCACCTCCCCTAATGGAGACAGGCTGAGAGAGTTGGGATTGATCAGCCTGGAGAAGAGGAGGTGGCGTGGAGACCTCACAGGATCTTCCAGGATCTGAAAGTGCCTACAGAGAAAGCTGGAGAGGGACTCGTCATCAGGAACTGGAGTGACAGGACAAGGGGGAATGGCTTCAAACTGACAGAGAGCAGGTTTAGATTGGATATCAGGGAGAAATTCTTCCCTGTGAGGGTGGGGAGGCCCTGGCACAGGTTGCCCAGAGAAGCTGTGGCTGCCCCATCCCTGGCAGTGTCCCAGGCCAGGCTGGATGGGGCTCTGAGCAACCTGGGCTGGTGGAAGGTGTCCCTGCCTATGGCAGGGTGTTTGGAATGAGATGATCTTTAGGGTCCCTTCCAACACAAACCCCTTGTTATGACTCTAAGGACTCCTGAGACATCAGCAAGGTTTCAGGCAGACTGAAGTGCTCCTCGAGCAAAACGCAAAGATGACCTCAAGAGGGTGGGGTGTGACAGCCCAGCATTCTGATCCCCGTGTGAAAATCCAAAGGGGACACTGAAAAAGGTGGCTGATGGCTTTCTGGCCCCCACTTGCCCTTCTGGCACCACCAAGTACCCTGAAGCCCACAGGTCACTCAGGGAATGAAAGCACCTTCTGGAGCCGTGTGTGATTATGACAAATTAACGAGCAGGTGAACAGATGAAAGATCCTAACCAGAATTACTTACTACACAGTGTAAAAGCTTAAAAAAATCTACTAGTATAGTATAACAAAATAATACAGTGCACTGCAACAAAGCAATTCTATTAAAGCAATTGTATTGAAGCTAGCAATGGAACTATCATTAAGTAGAGATTGATATAACTCACCACACGAGGTTGAGGGCAGCTCTCTCGTTGTCCTGGAGTCCCTCTGTGTTGGTTTTGATGACTGACGCTATGCAGGCTCACCTGGCACAGGTGTTATCATCATTATGCTAAATATGATCATCGTTAAGGTAAATGAGGACTCACAGGTGTTTTCATGCTCATCAGCATTCAGCTGTGAAGGTGGATGGCACTGACAGGTGACTGATTTGGTTTTGTTTTGGGTTTGTGGTTTTTTTTTAATGTGTTGTGCTTAGCACAGCTGTGTGAAGAAAAATCAGCATTTACCATTCAGCAATAGATTATTGTCTCATGTGATTTGCAGCAACCTTTATAATAAATGCAAAAAAAAAAAAATACCTTGGGAATTCCTGCTGTTAAACTGAATTGATACTGCCTAATGTATCCCACTTTACAGAAACTAAAAAGCCTGTAAGAAAAGATTTCTCTCACTGACTAAAATCAAAAAGTTAGTTGATGACAGTTTATGGGCTCTCACCACATAAAACAGGACTTGCTCATAGAAAATAATGTCTGCTTGGTGGCCAAGGCACATAGGAAATGGCCAATGTGCCAGATTTACCTGTTTAGAAGTAGCAAAGTTAAAAATTTAATTATGCTAAAATATGCAGCATAGAGGACAAACATGCAGATGTGTGTGCTTTTCAGCTGAACAGCCACACTTTGGGGAGCTGGACAAAACCTTACAGTCTCATTCCTTCTGTGGAAACAAGTTTGGGACAATAACCTCACTCCCATTTCCAGTCTCACAGCCATGGTACTGCACAAGTCCAATACAAATACATCCACAATTTGGCTTTCCACCTCGAAAAACAACTTGAAAAAAACCCCCAGTAACACCTGATAACACACACAGCTTTATCTGTTTGCACCACGTCCTGCTTCAAATTTCTGACTACTTGGCTTGGCACTTCCATCATCAAATGATGATACAGAGGCAAAACAATTGTCTCCTTCAAAAGAGGGGGTGCCACAGTCAGGAAGCCCCAGCATTTGGAATTTTTGTTGTGCCCACCCTAACAAAGTGAGCCTTCTTGAGGTTTAACATGAAAAGGGAATAACAGAACGACACAAGGGGCCCGAACCCACCCGTGCAACACTAAATCCACTGCCAGTAAATTGCACTACTCTCAGGTAATCCCAATGAAAACTCCTATTCACACCTCTTGGAAATATTGTTTTAGGCTGTTCAGCTCAACAAATCTCAGCTCATTACAGATGAGAATTAACTTTTGCTCTAGGAAATGCCAATTCCAGAATATCCACACCAATCTGTAGGTTTAAGACATAAACCTATTCCTGTCTACACTGCTTTGTCTTTCCAGCAGCATTCAGCCACTGCCAGACATAAAAGTGTTTTACAGGACACAGGAGAAAGAAAAAGGAGAGGACCTGCAGCATTCAGCTCCTGCCAGACTCTTTTTATGGACAGACTACAGAGAAACTGCAACAAAAGACCTGGTAATGCTTAATTACAAGGTACAGGAGGGGCCCCCAGATCCTGGTAAATATAAAAAATTATTCAGGCCTTTGCCAGTGTCTAAAAGACAGTGGAGAGACTCAGGGTTTAACACAGAAATAGGGAAGGAAATGCATGTGCATCTTCCTGCTGCACGATGCTGTTTCCTCACAAGGACAGGGGGAGAGCCACGTTTTTAGCCACTCATCCATCCCACAGATCCAGGCTGTTCCAAACAGGTTCCTGGGGACTGCAGCTCCGTTTGTGTACCAGAGTAAACCATCTCACCCCTGGAATCCTCTGCTCTTGCCCCTGACAGCTGAATTCAGAGACACATTTTGTTTCCCAGGCTGTCCCTGGTAAAGCAGGAGCCAAGATGATCAAGCCAAGATCCAATGGATCAGTTCAAATGGGATGCTAAACCAATTAATAACTGAGAGGGATCCAGTTACACTGCCAGCATTTATAGTCACAGTTTTGCACCTGTTTATTGTTACAGTTTTACAGTGAAAATACATTTTTTTAAAGTAATTCAAGGCTACAAAACACCAAACTAATGGTGGACTTGCAAAAACACATCTTCCTCCGTCTGGAGTCCCTAAAATGAGGTGGAGTTCCTCCCCATCTTTTGCATACATCTTATTCTTCCTGTGCTCTCTTCCCAGGAATTCCAGGACAGCAGCCATATCTTCTGACTCTTGCATGATCTGGAATTTCCACCCATGGGATTCTGGTGCCTGTATCAGCCCTTTTCTGTCTGTGGGTTCCTTAAGATTAGAATTCAGGATTAAAGAATTCAGATTAAACTCAGGAGACTTGCAAAAAACACACACAAAAAAAGAAACAAAACAAAACAGGAAAAAACCCCACAAACAAACAAAAAAAAAGCCACCACAGACCAGAAGCTTTTACTGATTGAAATTTCCCCACTTCTTTCCTCAGCAGGAAAATAATCATGGCCACAAGAAAAAAGAACACCAAAAAGAAAAAAAAATAAGGTGCTTCTGTTGCAAATATTGTTATTACTCTCTTTTTGACTCTTCTTATTTTGCAGAGTTTAAAATGGCAATGTTTCCTTTTCCTTTGTTTTTTTTTTTTCCCCTCAGAGAGCAGCATCAGTCATTAGTTTCTTCTTTGATTTCTGAAAAAAAAACCCAAACAGATTCATAACAAAATGTCATTTCACATGACACAAAATACCCTGGATTTTTCAAATGTCTCACATTTCAAAATTAGACACACATACAGCCCCATACACCTCCAAAGAGCATTTAAGGCATATGGCACCTTTCAGCAACTCAAAAGTAGGGCAATTTTGTTTCCAAAACAAAAGGCTGAAAATGGAAATCCAGACAGAAAGCTCTCTGTTCTCTTCCCTTTTCCCCATCTCATGCTGAAGAAGTTTTGCCTTGAAGAGAGGTGTTTGTATCTCTGGAAATCTTAGAAACTGTCAGTCCTGTGCAGCCATTCAGCTCACAGCAGGTGTTGCCTGAGAGAACTCTGGCATCTATTTTACTGACTTCTACAAACAGATGGACCCAAGAACCAGGTACAGGATAACGGGACCAGCCTCGGATGGCAGCCCAGAAGAAAGAAAGAAGAAAGTTCCATTCCCATTCATGCCACAGTTCTGATCCCTGCATTCAGAGGAGCTACTGCTGCCTTGGAACTCTTTCCTGTTCCCCTCAAAAAGAAACTCAGCTGGCCTTCCAGTTGCCAGCAGTGGTGTCTCCCTTCTTGCTCCACCACTCTACACCCTCTCTCTTTCAGCCAGCGATGCCAACTCCGGCTCTGTTTGGCGGCTCTGGTTTGAACTCTGCTCTGGAGCCATTCCCTTCTGCTTTCCAGCCTGTGACACGGATCCCAGCGCCGTTCCATTGGGCACTTGAAGCAGACAGGGCTCTGTGAAGCTCTGTCCTCCTGCCATGCTGGAAAATGTCATTTGGGAGTGCAGCTGGTTTGAGAGCTGAGCTCCCTGCACGTAGAAATCACTCCAGGGGACAGCCTGATAGGCAGTGATGTCTGCTGGGGGAAAAGCAACAAAGGAAAGACAGTTTTTATCCAAAAGTTTTTATCCAAAAGGTAGTTCTTAGGAGGGAAAACTTAGGAAGCCCATGGCATTGTTACAACGTAAAAAGAAATCATGATGCCACTCAGCACTGATCCCGAGAGTATGTAATGACATCAGAGACACCCATTCCCCAGTTGTTTTTTTTCTCCACTCCTATTTTCCAAGAGGTTCAAGCTCTGCCAAGCATACCCTGAATGTTTAATCTTCACTTTCATTTACAGAAGCTGGAAGCAGGAAAGTTTTGTTAGGTAATATCTATAATCCAACTAAGCTGCTCACCTGCTTACAGTATCTGAAGGTAAGACTCACAGGTGTGTCTGCACTGACAGATTGGTTCCCTGCCCACTGCACTTTGGGAACCTGGAACCTTTTTAGGAAGAAATCCTTCCCTGTGAGGGTGGGGAGGCCCTGGCACAGGTTGCCCAGAGAAGCTGTGGCTGCCCCATCCCTGGCAGTGTCCCAGGCCAGGTTGGATGGGGCTCTGAGCAACCTGGGACAGTAGAAAGTGTCCCTGCCCATGGCAGGGAGGTTGGAACTGGATGATCTTTAGGGTCCTTTCCAACCCAAACCATTCCATGATTCTGTGAACTTGGTCATACCAGTTGCAGGATCCCTTCCTTGAACAGAACTGCTGTGCAATGCTGACTGTGCTCTGGACAGAGTGAGAGAATATCAGCTCTGCCTCTGTTCCTTCAACAATCTTTCAACTTTATCAGCTTGCACCTTTACACACCCCTTTATGCTCACACAACATGCCCCAAAGAACTGAACCCACACTTTGGCATCACGCTATAAAAATGCTAATTTAGTGCACAGCCCTCTCATTACTTCTGGCACTTCAGGCTGAAAAACCACTAAAAAAGAATAATTATGCCTCGAAACCAGAGAGGGGAGACAGGCCAAGGGTGGTAGATAGCAGGGGTGCTGCAAACCTGGCCTGGAAATTGTCAGGAGCAATAATGGGACCACGAGCCAGCCTGCTGTGAGTCAGACTCTGTGAGTCACACTTCCCTCCCTGACAAGGTCCACAAGACTGGTACAGAAACAGTGGCAGCATCTGCGGTCTGAAACTATTCTCTTTATGTGATAAGACAAGAGATGTCGTTTTTGGACTGTGAGCTTAATTCAACAAACCTGACAGCCCAAATAAATTAAACTGCAGTGGTTTATCATTTGATTATACTTGGGCTTGAGGAACTTCAGAACACAAAGCCCGGACACAAAACAAGGAGACCAACAGTGCCAGTTTCACCTCGTCACTTTTTGGGAAATTATGCAGAAAGGCCTTAATCTGTTGCAAATTAAAACCAGAGGAAGAAAAAGAAAGATTCTATATATGCATACTCTGCTGGCTTCTGTCTCTCCTTTTGCACTACCCCAAGATAGGAAACTTCAGTCTGGTTTCTGCAGAAGCCCAACAGAGTGAGAAGCCAGCACTTAAAAAAAAAAAACCCCAAGCACACAAAGAAAATAAAAAAAATAAGATGGGCACATTATATGTATATATCTTTGTGCATGCATATGAATGTTTCTACTTTCTGTCCCAGCCACCAGTAAAAACACTGATGTCAAGGTTTGGTTCAGTTACTCCAGAGGTGCAGGATGACAAAATATTTCAGAGATTTACCTGAGTGCCCACTTGGCTGCTGTGGCACGAGCTGTCCCCCCATGTGGTTTTGTCCGTAGGTGGCTTGTGTGGTTCCGTGGGTTGCTGCTCCAGTGTTACCAGGCAAGGCCAGGAAAGCTGGGTGGGACTCTAGGGGCGTTGGAGGAGGGAGGTGGTCACTGGAGAGCACGTTGGTGGCCAGGTGATCAGGCAGCTGGCAGAAGTGGGAGAACTGGTGCTGCTGGGAATACTGGGACAGAGGGTAAATGCCCCCCTGGCTGCTGTACTGACAGTACATGCTCTCCAGGTTCCCTGTGGTCTCCAGCTGCTCAGGGTAATGGCAGGAAGGTGGTGGACTCCAGCTGCAGAGAGCAAGGAGAGGCAATCCAGAGATTAAAGCAGAGTCACAACAGCTACAGCAACCCATACAGTGAACAACTGTGTTACTGCCAACCCTGATCTGACCCCAACCCCTCCTCCCAGATGCCAGGACAAGGGCAACAGAAACCACTTGAGCCAAGTGGTTTCACAGCAGGATTCTTGACCAATGGGATTTAGCAGGGATTATCTTCCCACTCTCCAAAGCACACCCCAAAGCTGGAAACATCCTCTCTTTCACTTGACAGACACTCTCACTCCTGCACCTCACTTTTCACTTATGCTCCCACCTAATTCCTTGTCCCATGTCCCCCATTCCTCCTCCCTCAGGCTTTGCCTTCTTCCATTTCCCTTCCCATCTGTCCCCTACCCTTGGCTCTGGATGCTGTAGGTGAAGGTTTCCCTGGAGCCACTTTCCTGACCGGACAGGCAGCACTCGCTGCTGGCAGCGCCCAGCACCGAGGGGACAGCAGGGCTGTGGGGGCTGAAGGGCAGGTTGGTGGCCCTGCGGATGGGAGGAGGGCTGGGAAGGCTGGGGAAGCATTCCACCCTGCCGGGGTTGAAGCTGAGCTGCGGCGACGCCTTCGTCTGGACGGATTCACGAGGTGCCACCGTCCCTGCCACCGAGGAGGCTGTGAATGAACACAGGGACTTGTCACACTGGGCTGTCACAGCAGGGAGGAACAGCAGCAAGCAGAGGGAGGGAGGGAGGGGCAGAACAGAAAAGCAAGATGCCAGGGACAGAGTGGACATGAACTGGTGGGAATAGAAGGGAGCAAGCACCGGCGTTGCTGCAGAGAAGCACGGGGAAGTACCAGCAAGCTCTCTGGAGCACAGGGTGGTGTTTATTGGCTAAATAAAATTACCTTAATGATTTCAGCCTCTGCATATTATACTTATTCAGCTCTCAAGAAGGCAGGCAAGTGAAGCTAAGTACTTCCTGAAAAAAAAAGCCAGGAATGATCTCCCAGCCATCTTCCATCACTACTGTCCTCTGGGAGGAGTGTGCTCCACTCAGTTCAAAAGACTACCCTTTTGAAAAATTTAACTGTGGTTGGAAAGAAACAAAAAAACGTGCACATCCACATCCACACTCATTGTTTTGACCATATTTTCACTCGGATGAGTCATGCCAGAAACAGAAATTAAAAGAGCAGAGATGCCAGCTGAAGATCTTTTGGAAAAAGAAGCTGGGACACGGAAAAAAAAAGAAACCAACACCTTTTGGTTCCTAGAATCTTGTTTGGTGACCTCTCTCCTCAGTCACTGCTAGAAAATGAGAGAGGAGGAGTTTCTTACAGAAGAGCCTCTGTGGAAACAGGACAACAGAGGAAATTAAAGGTCAGAGTCACATATGCTGGTGATCCAGAGCAACAACTACACACAGAAGTTCAAGGAGCTTGCACATGGGGCAAGAG